CTCTTCTCTTCCCATCACTCTGGTACAAGTTGATCTTGGTCTCCTCTGTCCATAGGATGTTGTTCCAGAACTGTGAAGGCTTTTTTACATGTCGTTTGGCAAACTCTAATCTGGCCTTCCTGTTTTTGAGGCTCACCAATGGTTTACATCTTGTGGTGAACCCTCTGTATTCACTCTGGTGAAGTCTTCTCTTGATTGTTGACTTTGACACACATACACCTACCTCCTGGAGAGTGTTCTTGATCTGGCCAACTGTTGTGAAGGGTGTTTTCTTCACCAGGGAAAGAATTCTTCGGTCATCCACCACAGTTGTTTTCCGTGGTCTTCCGGGTTTTTTGGTGTTGCTGAGCTCACCGGTGCGTTCCTTCTTTTTAAGAATGTTCCAAACAGTTGTTTTGGCCACACCTAATGTTTTTGCTATCTCTCTGATGGGTTTGTTTTGTTTTTTCAGCCTAATGATGGCTTGCTTCACTGATAGTGACAGCTCTTTGGATCTCATCTTGAGAGTTGACAGCAACAGATTCCAAATGCAAATAGCACACATGAAATGAACTCTGGATTTTTATCTGCTCTCATTGTAATTGGGATAATGAGGGAATAACACACACCTGGCCATGGAACGGCTGAGAAGCCAATTGTCCCATTACTTTTGGTCCCTTAACAAGTGGGAGGCACATATGCAAACTGTTGTAATTCCTACACCGTTCACCTGATTTGGATGTAAATAGCCTCAAATTAAAGCTGACAGTCTGCAGTTAAAGCATATCTTGTTCGTTTCATTTCAAATCCATTGTGGTGGGTGTATAGAGCCAAAAAATGTTAGAAATGTGTCAATGTCCCAATATTTATGGACCTGACTGTATCCTTTGTTCTCAGCTGCATAGAGGGGGGATGTTGAGATAAGTCTGATCATTGGAGGAAAGCATATAAAAAGAAACAAAAATTGTGCTTAAAATTACTTGCCAAATATATATGCAAATAATAATCAAATCATTGCTGCCACTTCTAATAAATCAATATGACCAAAAATACATTAAAGTGATTCAGTAGCGTAAAATAACATAAAGTGAATATCAAAATGTAACTTTTGATGTGAAAAAGTCCTAAAGAAAGTCCTTGATAAGCCCACAAAGTCTTCAAAATCTCCATGAAACTTCAACCCGTGTACAGGATAAATATAGTGTCCCCCCTTTCGGGTGTGCACTCACCACACAAATATGCCCCCCATTCTCATGGTTGGCTAAATCGCTTAAAGATGACAGTCACCGTCTCCAATACACCAGGATCTCACGGATGTACAGATGACATTCCATGGGTTGGTTGGTAATAGGTATAAAGGCATTGAAAATGATGTAAAGTCACCCTTCTTCCTCCTCTGTGATCGCCTCTCAAATGGTCATGTAAGGGATAAAACACAAAAGAGAACCCCAATGGTGCAGTACAAAATACCTCCTTTATTGGCCCAAATAGACAGCCACTTACAAGCAATAAATGAGATTCAAATGTTGCAGATAGTGAAACTGAGCAAAACATGCTATGTGGGTCCCTGCAGTGCTCTCACCACTGCCGAGTGTCACAAATCGGTGCCGATGGTGTCACTTCCGGTTCCGCTCACGTCACTTGCCGCACAGTACTGCCCTAAGGGGACTATCTTCAACATTTTTGAGTTAGCTGGAGTTTGGTCTCAGCTTGTTAGTGTTTTTAAATCTGCTAGTACATCTAACAGCCCCCCCCCCACCAGATTATTAATGCTGCTGTCCAAAGGTGCCCCCATGCTCCTTCATCCAGAGTAGGGGCACACTAATACAGTAGGTGAGTTACTGGCCAGATCACCAGGTGAAAACAGAGGGCAAAAGCCTAGAAAATAAACCTAATGCAGCCACCACATCTGAGGATTTGTAACCTGCAATAAATGTCATTTTTGATTTTGGGTTTAATGCCGATTTAAAGTATAAATGAAGACAATTTTTCTTTCAATTCATATTTGGATAGCAAGGTGAGAGGTTATAAACTCTGTCTGATTTTTACTGTTGTCTGTGTCCAAGTGCTGCAACTATACCGCCAGAGTGCAGTAATCGCAGTGATACTAGTTCTAGACCAACAGGGTATGCACTATCCAAAAGAACAGAAGGATGGTAGCGAAGGGGGCAGGGGAACAAAGGGGGCTAGCAGAATCATTAATATGGGGAGGGCAGTCCTTTGAGATGCTCTTCTGCTGGCTATCATTGTGGCCCTTTAAGAGTGTTGGTGCACTTAATGACAGTCTCAGTTAACCTGGATGCAGTGTAGGTACTGTACGCAGTTTAGATGCGGTAAAGGTTTTGATATAATGCGGTATAGGGTTGCTATATCTGTAGTCTAGGTTTGGAATAAGTGCAGTTACTGTTGCCTATCATCTCGAACCAGTCTGCCCATTCTCCTCTGACAACAACAAGCTATTTTTGTCCACACAACTGCCGCTCACTGGATATTTCTCTTTTTCAGATCATTCTCTATAAATCCTATAGATGGTTGTATGTGAAAATCCCAGTAGATCAGCAGTTTTTGAAATACTCAGACCAGCCCATCTGGCACCAACAACTATGCCACATTCAAAGTCACTTAAATCCCCTTTCTTCCCCATTCTGGTTCTTCAGCAATTCGGCTTCACCATGTCTAGATGCCGAAATTCCATGAGTTGGCTGATTAGCTAATTATGTTACCAAGCAATTGAATAGGTGTACCTAATAAAGAGGTGCATGTGTGTGTGTGTATAATATATATATATATATTGTACTGGATGAAAAAGGACAACTGTATCATACTTACCTTGCAGTTTTCTGTCCCTGGCACCAATCCTTGGCAGCACACATGTGATAGTATGCTGCCATTTGGAGCCAGGAAAATGCTTTTCAGGTAGAGGTTATTTTTTCCTGTGTCCCCTATCCTTGTAAGCAAGCCAGGAGTGGTGAAACACATCAACGAAGGTTGGTTCACAGGTGGAGACATAGCAGAGAAATACAAAGCAATGTGTGCAATGTGCTGACACAGTAAAGCACACAGTATAACACACAGCACACAGTTAACCCTTTGATCGCCCCCAGATGTTAACCCTTTCCTGCCCAGTGTCATTAGTACAGTGTCAGTGCTTTTAATTAGCACTGATCACTGTATTAGTGTCACTGGGGATGTCATTGGCAGTTAGTTCCCCTCCAGTATCAAAATGCCCGCCGCAGTGCCGCTATAAGTCGCTGACTGCCGCCATTACTAGTAAAAAAAAAAAATTCCAGTATATATACCGCCATTTGTAGACGCTATAACTTTCACGTAAACCAATTAATTTACACGTATTGGGATTTTATTTTTTAGGAAGGACGTAGCAGTATCCATTTTGGCGTGAATTTATGACAAATTAGATTTTTTAAAAATTTTTTTACTGGACATGTTTTATAGCAACATGTCCAAAATATTGTTTTTTGTTCCTCAAAATTGTCGTTCATTTTTTGTTTATAGCACAAAAAATAAACAATGCACAGGCAATCAAATACCACCAAAAGAAAGCTCCATTTGTGGGAAAGAAAGGACATAAATTTTATTTGGGTGCAGTGTCGCATGACCGCGCAATTGTTAGTTAAGTTAATGCAGCGCCGTATCACAAAAAATGACCTGGTCAGGAAGGGGTTAAATCCTCTGGAGGGTAAGTGGTTAATATGCCGCTCCAAATTCTTGCCGACAGCATAACGCACACACTTGTTATTTCTTCTACTTCATGCGAGTGCTGGTTAGAACATGTCAGAACACGCTCAAGTGCAAATGGGTGTGTGACTAACTACCACAGTGGTACGCCGTAGGCATTCCAAGAATTAAATTGTCATTCCTTGCATACCTGCTAACAGCTTTATTTTTTTTTTTAATAATGAAGTCACTTTAAGGCAATAGTGGGGGCAGGCATAGATGCAGCATGACTCCTGCTGACTTCTAGCAAGCACAAAGCAAGGTAGACACTCCATTACCCATTATTGTGATTGTCTAATAATGGATAATCTCATTTTCATATGTAAATTATTATTATGTGACTGTAAATTTGGCTGTTATCTACATTATTGCCATGCGTGGTGTTCAAGGCTGGGAGCTTCAGAGGTGTGTTTGTTGATCCATAGAGCAGTTATCATGTTAGTGAATTATTTCTTTAGGCTCCATGCACAGTAGCATTTTCTTTTAAGCTCAAAAAACACTGGTAATAGCATTTTGTAGGAGCGTTTAGAAGGGTGTAGGAGCATCAGCATTTTATTAGCGGTTTTAAAGTACATGTAGGAAAAAAGCTAGAAAAAAGCTGTTAGGAGCGTTATAGTGTTTTTTTTTCTGCTGGAAAAACGCTCCAAAAAACTCAGCAAAAACAATTTTTTTCCTGCTCCTAGACGCTGAAGCTCAAAAAACACTGATAGCCAAAAGTAGTGTGCATGGACACATAGGACAACACTATTTAGCTTCTAGCAGAACAAAAAATGCTAATAACAGCTTCTAGGAGCTTAACCTCTTCACGCAGGCCGAACGCAAATGTTCGGTCTCCCGGCGTCTGGGCCTAGTCGCCGAGCGGGTGCACATTTGCGTTCTATTAAAAAAGAACATATGTGCTGAGAGCGTTCACCCTGCGCGCTCCCAGCACACATGTCCGGTATTCATGGTAAGGTCCTGATCTCCTCTTTCGATCGGGACCTTTCCCGATCATGTGACCGCCGTGACGGCGGCTCACGGCGGTCACATGACCCTTAACCCCGCCCCATCTCCTGACTTCTGAAACCCTTAAAGGGCTGGGAGGCTCCGGCGCGAAAGGGGTTAAAAAAACTCCAGCGTGCATGGAGCCTTAAAGTGTTCTCCTTTTGTTTGTTTTTATTTGATTTTTTTTGTGTGAAGATAATATTGTTGTATATTTAGGCCAAAACAATTCTACAGCTCTTAACTTCTTTGCATTGACAATATTATGTATACATAAAAGAACCTAATACATCTTTATTTTACAGGCTTCATTTCAGAGATCTAACAGTCATGACAAAGTTCGAAAAATTGTGGCAGAGGAAGGACGTACTGCCAGAAATCTGATTGCATGGAGTGTCCCCCTGGAAAACAAAGAAGGTGAAGGTACAGCTATATTTATATGACACATTTGAAGGCTTTTTTTTTATTTTATACTAACAGTGATCCCTTGAGGGGGTCCTTTCAACCTCACCTTGTTTTTCTTCCCTTGTGTTTTTACACTGGAGAAGGACTAAATTAACTTGTGTTGTTTACTACTTGGAGAGCTAAACTAACTCATGGCAGTGTGCTAGCATTCACAGCAACACCAATATTCAGCAATAATGGAATATTGTTGAATCAGTTTTCACCTGCAGTGTGCAGTTCTGGATGGGGTTGGATGCATTTATGGGGTAGACCTCAGGATGTGCTAAGAGAATTGTGATTTTTTTTTTCTATAAAATTGAAAACCCTGTTAATGTGTCACCTCTGAATCAATTGTCTGGATTTTATGCAGCTAGCATGCACTGTCTTTACTTTGGAAATTGCACTGCAGTGGATTTGGAGGCCACTGTTTCTAAACTGGTGTCATTAACTAGTTGCTGACCGCAGATAGCCGAATGATGGCTGCACTGCGGCCGGCCAGTTCTGGGTGGACGTCATATGACGTCCTCCCAGAATGCGCTCTCCTGGGGCGCGCACCCGGCGATCTCCGTGATCGCTGTGTCCTACAGACACAGCTGATCACGTGATGTGGTAAAAGGCCAATCACAGCGGCCTTTTACCACGTGATCAGCGGTGTCCAATGACACGCTGATCACAGGGAAATGCAAGTGCCGGTTCTCGGCTGCACTTTCCTCACGCTGTCAGATCGTGAGGAAAGTACTGCCGAGAACCGGCAGTTGTCAGAGCGAGGATCGGCACCGATCATCAGGGCACTGATGATCAGTGCCCTGATGATCGGTGCCCAGCAGTGCCACCCACAAGTTCCGCCCACCTGTGCCCAGCAGTGCGCCCACTAGCTCCGCCCACCGGTGCCCAGCAGATCACCCACCTGTGCCCAGCAGTGCACCCACCTGTGCCACTCTGCAGTGTCACACACCTGTGCCCAGAAGTGCCACCTACCTGTGCCCAGCAGTGCCACCCACCTGTGCCCACCCACCAGTGCCACCCACCTGTGCCCACCCACCAGTGCTGCCCACCAGTGCCACCCACCAGTGCAGCCCAGCAGTGCTGCCAGTCAGTGCCACCAGTCAGTGCCCAGCGGTTGTGCCAGTCAGTGCTGCCAGTCAGTGCCCAGCAGTGATGCCAGTCAGTGCCGTCTATCAGTACCCATCATCAGTGCCACCTATCAGTGCCGCCTATCAGTGCTGCATATTAGTGCCGCCTATCCGTGACACCTCATTAGTGCTGCCTATCAGTGCCGCCTATCCGTGCCACCTCATTAGTACTGCCTATCAGTGCCCTTTAGTGCTGCCTATCAGTGCCCATCAGTGCCGCCTATCAGTGCTGCCTCATCAACGCACATCAGGAGAAGGAGAAAAATTACCTGTTTGAAAAATTTTATAATAGAAACAAAGAAACTTTTTTCTCAAATTTTTTGCAATTTTTTTTATTTATAGCGCAAAAAGTAAAGCGCCCAGTGGCAATTAAATACCACCAAAAGAAAGCTCTATTTGTGAGAAAAAAATGATCAAAATTTCATATGGGTACAATGTTGCATGACCGCGCAATTGTCAATCAAAGTGTGGCAGCGCTGAAAGCTGAAAATTGGCCTGGTAAAGAAGGGGGGGTATAAGTGCCTGGTAGGCAAGTGGTTAAGAACTAGTGTTACTGAAAAAATGGTGCTGTGTTAAAGAAAAGGTGCTTATACAATATGGGGTGTATTTATAAAAAAAAAAAAAAAAAAAAAAAATTACACAGCTGTTTGTCCAGTGAAACTGCATGTACATTTGTTATGTGCAAACTAACCAACTGTTGTGAGGATGAGGCAAAATCAAATGTTATTAAACTATTTTCTCTTCTGATGAAACGTTCTTTAATTATTAGGGAGTAGTAGTAAAGATTCAGAATGAATGTAGAGTGAATTCAGGAAAATACTGCATTATGGCCACAAGAAGGAGCTGAGGATCGTTGTAAATAAATGCATTTTTGTAAGATGGGATAGAATATAACAATTCTAAGGAACGCTGGAGAGAGATAGCAAGTAAATGCAACCATTGCTTCTACAGGATTCCTGTTTGTTTTCTGATTTTCTTTAGCATTTTCTGAAAGTGTTACATTTTATCTCATCTTGCAAAAACGTATTTATTTCTTATTCAAAACACTAACAATAACATATAAAGCCATTTATAACTCTGCCTCAAATTATATCACCAATCTTGTCTCCAAATATCACCCAAACTGTACTCTCCGCTGCTCCCACGACCTCCTACTCTCTAGCTCCCTTGTCTCCTCTTCCCATGCTCGTCTCCAGGACTTCTCCAGAGCTTCTCCCATCCTCTGGAACGCTCTACCCCAATTTATCAGACTATCACCTACTCTGCTCACTTTTAGGCGATGAAAATCTATCTCTGCAGGGAAGCCTATCCTGCCCTCAGCTAATAATAGAATCTTTTATTCCTTGTACCAGTCCATCCCCCACAGTTATTACCTTTTGTACCACTAGCCCCTCCCTCTTAGATTGTAAGCTCTGGGGTTGGTTTGTTTTTAAGGTGATTTTAATGTTCAAAATATATTGGTTGGTATATTTATATATTTAAAGTGGTTATAAAGGCTCAAGGTTTTTTTTACCTTCATGTATTCTATGCATGAAGGTAAAAAACCTGTGTGCAGCAGCCCCCGTAAAAATTACCTGAGCCCCATTGCGATCCAGCGATGTGCATGTGAGAGCCTTGGCTCTCCGGGGATTCTCCCTCCTCACTGGTTGAGACAACAGCGGAAGCCATTAAGCCAAGAAGGAGAAAGAGCGGGGTGGCACTGAGCCATGGCTCTGTGTGTATATGGACACACACAGCAGCGGCTTGGGATCGAGCCTGATTGGGCTCCCCCAAAGCAAGCTGCTTGCTCTGGGGGGCACTAGGCAGGAGAAAGGGGCCAGGAGCACCGGCGTGGAATCTGAGAAGAGGAGGATCAGGGCTGCTCTCTTCAAAACCACTGCATGGAGCAGGTAAGTATAACATGTTTGTTTTTTAAAAAAACATTGCCTTTGATATCACTTCAACAATAAAGAACTTAAAAACTGGATAATTATATACATACAATAATTTTTTTCTCTAATAAGCCACAAGAGCTGCTTTACGTAACCACTTTTTTGAACCCTGGCACTGTTCTTTGTTCAGAAATACATCAAGCAGACAAGATTAAGCCCTGGTTCACACTGGTGCGACTTGTCATGCGATTTGACAGCTCCAAAGTTGCACCCTATTGTCAGCAACGGGACCTTTCAAATCAGTGCGACTCCAACTTTGTGGCGCACCAATTTGTAAAAAAGGTTCCTGCACTATTTTTTTGTGATTTCAGGTGCAACTTGCATAGACATCTGTGCATGAAGTTGCAGAGATGTCGGGGAAGCCACTCCTGAAACTGCACTGACCTGCAGCTTTGAAGTCGTGCCACTTCAAGTGAAGTGGCACGATTTCAAAGTCGGATTCGGTGTGAGCCAGTGCTCAAGTAAGAATACACATGACTCGTGTTTATCCAGTACAGGGGTTAGATAAAAATGGAAACACCACATGATTTGCAGGTGTGAAAGTGACGACATGTTTCACATTCAAAGTGAAAGTGATGTAACATTCTTATGCTTCTGCTGTGTGATGAGACACCTAGCTAACAGGTGGGAAGCCTCACTTTTGTCATTCACTGTGTGCGCGGCTAGTAATATGGAGTCATGTCAAAGCTTACTGAGCTTCAGAGTGCAAATTGTTGGTGCCCGCTTAGCTGTTGCCTCTGTGACTGAAGTTGCCAATTTATTTGCCATGTGGCGAGGTACAGTATCAAAGGTTATGGCAGCATATGCCGTTACCGGGAAAATGTCATCTGCTAAGCAAAAGCACGGTTGACTTGCCCAACTTACCGAAGAGACAAAAGGACATTGCACAGGATTGTGACCCAGAATAAGAAAACAACTGCTTCAAAAGTGACTGCAGAGCTTAATGTCAGTCCCGTGAAAACTGAGATTGAGCTTTGCAGTCACGTTTTCAGCAGTTGTTTTCTTCTTTCTTGTTACATGGTATTCAGAGCAAAGTACAGCCACCCAGACCAAGCTGTCACAATTATATTGGCTAATGCTAAATCAATGTGAGCTGGATATGTTAAAAATGGATACCTGATATTTTTTGGTTTTCCCAATGCACTTTATTAAAATCAAATAACCCATACAAAGCAGTGTGCTTACAATGAAACACAGCACACAGCCTCATAATAAAACAGCACACAATTAACCCTTTGATTGCCTCACATGTTAACCCCTTCATGCCTCTGGATCAACTGTGGGTATAGGATTATAACTTTTTTTTTTTTAAATGGTTGAACTGGATGGACTTCTGTCTTTTTTCAGCCAGACTAACTATGTAACCCTTTTATTTTGAGACCCTGCATCCCATACCCACCCTTCCATTGTGTATGGGCTGTGTTTCTCTTCTCAGCCACTAGATGGGGCTGTGCATATAGTATATGTTCAATGGAACATAAAGGACTTTGTTATTATTATTATACAGGATTTATATAGCGCCAACAGTTTGCTCAGCGCTTTAGAATATAACGGGAGACAATACAGCAACAATACAGTTCAATACAAGAGGGTTAGGAGGGCCCTGATCCTGGGAGCTTACAATCTTACTTTGATGCTAATAATGTCAGGGTTTATATAATTCCATTCTTTGTCTCCTTAGAGACAGCATTGAAGTATACACTTAAAACTCATTATTGTGGTTTTCGTTTTTGATGGGGCACATTTGTATGCTCAGGACCAGGGCAGATCTTGGCAGGTAAAGGTTTTTTAGTATATATCCACATATTCACCGCCTGGCCTTGTAAATGTAAATTGTACTTAAGCTGAATACAGAGTTTGTCCTTGTCCTATCAGTGTACTGGGCAAGGATTTAGTGAGCCTTAAAAGTGTCCAC